CCTTTACTAAGGAGGAAATTTCTGAAGTTCTAGTCCTCAATAGTAACAACAAATAACAAATCAATAGTAATTCCATACAAGGAAGGAACCTCGAAAACCATCTTACGCAGAATTCTTAACAAGGCAGGAATAAAAGTGGCTGACATTCAAACCACCCATAAACTCAATTAGAAACAAGTTTTTTTTCTGTTAAAGGATCAATCGTGTGGAGCTAATTGGAAAAAAACAATTTAAATTTTTTAATACCCTGCTGGAATGACTGTCAGGTCGAATACATAGGTCAAAGTAGTAGAACAGGGACAGTCAGACTAACCGAGCACAAAAACCTAGCAGCAAAATCTAGGTTAGTTAACCTAAATAAGATTTAAAAAAATCTACAGAATACTTCATCTGTAGCACTCACCACATGCAATTACACACAACCATACAATAGGATGGGCGGGATAGGATGACAGTTTTAAAATCTAATGTAACGGGGTGAATGGAGGGAGAGATTGATAACAACGCAAGCTTTTTCTATCGAATCAACTGGAAGTACATGTAACAAGAAAGATTCAACACCTGTCCATTCGGACATCTGAAAAATTCTACTACCCTTACGGCGATGAATAGGAGAGAATAAAGAACACTATAAAACTAAAGTTTCAAAGTTGTGTGATTATATATTATTATAATAAAGGTTTTTGTATTTCCCAATGAATGAAAAACAAAACGTCAATAAAAAAAACAATCTCGTTTTGTTTCTCATTCATTGGGAAATACAAAAAACCTTTAATTATAATGAATATCATATACCCAATGCCCAAATTTTTTCAAACCGTTAAAAGTGAACTTGGTTTGGACATATATAATTTAATTAAAAGCCGGATTACTCTATCGAAGCATAAATGTAACTTCTATAATCATCGTATTTTCAATTTACGCTGTCTACAAAGTGGAATTATTCCAAAGTCACTACGAGTTAAACCTCTTGAATATTTGCACAAATCCATACTTGCTGCAGATCATACCTCCAAAGTATATTTACGAGAAAGAATACATAACTGCAAAGTCAAACTTGAATCTTATCGAACGAGAATCAAAAATATAGGCGACTGTTTGTTTAACTTGTTAACTTGTTACAAGCCATGTTTATGAATCCTTTCAAAAATCGTTTAATGAACGAGAATCTCATTTTCATAATGTCACTAAGAGAAGACAAGTACAAAAATTCTTGAAACTCGAAGAAAAGAAACAACCAAAGAAAACCTCAGCAAATGATATGAGGAATATTAGAGCCATACATAGCATGTCAGACAAGATACTAACCGAAAATGAAGTCTTACTACTACAGAAAGGTTTGAATTTCAGGTCCAGGAAATAACACCTATGACTGAACCTTCTCTACAACAATTCACCAATGAAGAATCACAATCTGTTCGTCAAAAGATATCACACATATTAATGACACAATGAAACATACTATCTAATCTCACCAAACAAGAATATTAAGCCTTAAGAAATTTGAAGAAAGACAAAAGCATCGTGTGATTATAATTGATATGATTATGTACACGAATAAATTGTGTTTGAAACTTTGTCATCCAGTTAACAGTAATACTGTTTCACTCACTGTGTGATATATTGATTTGATTTTGATTTTTTTGATTTTTTGATTGCAGCTTGATTCCACACTGTATTTTTGGTACAGGTATGGAATTTTCAGCATGGATATCGGTAGCCCAAATTCTGCAGGCCAACCATAGATATCAGGTGTGCGTCGGCCAGGGCTCGAACCTCGGGCCATGTGCATGGTCGGCGAGAGTCCTAACCACTGTGCTACCGACGCACAAACTAATATGGAATTACATACTACCACTACAGTGCCCAAGTTTTACACACATATCAAAACAGATAACAACAGCTTCAATCTGATCAGTGTCTATATAATGTACAGGATTTTCAGCTGAGTTTATCGCATGATATTCTCTCTTCGTCCAGGATCTTCAACTAAAAACATTAGTCGACAGTAGATCCTGTGAAACAATCCTCTCTAACATGAAGTTTGAACCAATCCATTATCATATTTCACCTTTGTCTCCTCAAAGAAATGCACGACATTTGGTTGAAAATTAATCGTAAAAAGTTCAGGAATACATTCTGGGACCTAAGGGCATAACTTAGGAACAGTTATTACATGTACTGGGATGCACTGCCACCCACCAATACGCTTTTTCTAATGTATAGTAAAAACCGGCGTGTCAGCAAGTTGTAAGCAGTTTAAATTCTCGTGAGGGTAAATAATAACATTAGAGATCATATTTTAATCGATTACAACACAGTGACCAGGAGAAATTATATGCAGTATAATGATGGAGATTTTTGATAGCCCAAGTTTTTTGTTTTTAATTAGGCCGCTGTGATCTTAATAAAAATGAGCACTGGTTTGGCTGAATGATTAACCTGCCAGGATTTTAATCTTATGTGTCAATAACAAATGTTATTTTCTGTAAAACAGACAATCATGTTATCCGAAAATACGGATTGACCACTCACTGGATTCCGGATAGTTTTAGTTTGTATTTATAATTACTTCTGCATTATGGCTTTTTTTTTGTGCATTTTGTAACCAGTTGATATCAGAGAGAGAATCATTTTGAAAGCCACTGAGCATTGAACGGCTGTTTTGTCTTAGTTCGGGCTTCTTCAGAAATTCACACCCAAGACACTGCTAGAGATTAAATTCAGACCGATTACATCCCGAGACCATCTCCCTGAACGTTCACCAACTGGGCTGGAGTTCACAGGTCTATGAATGATAACCTATATCACTTTACAATATAGTGAATGCCTCGTTACTTAAATGCCCTGAATTCAATCTCTAGTTGGTGCAGACTGTTGAAGAGCCTCACACTAGAGTGAAACAGTACCTTATCGGTACTTCTTAAGTTTTTGAATGACTCTCTAACTTATCTTGGTTTATGACGAAATGTTTACATTAGAATTAATCAAAACTCTTACAAAAACCCAAAATTTGAATAAAGCAAGAACAACAGTGGTGGTTTGTACAGAATAATATGGTACCATCATTGCTTATTTCGTTTGTTGGCTTCTCATCAGCTCAGCTACTGCTTACAGGCAGCCTAAATAAATTATGAGTTTTATGTACAGTAACGTGTTAACATACTTGCAAATTTTACATGTTGTCAGTTGACAGAAAGTTTCACAATTAGTGAATAGTGCTCAGAAAATTGAGCTTACATAGTTTTTACACAGGCAGTTCAAGTTTAAACAAAAATAAATGTATGCATACAATGGTAAAGGAGTTACGTAATAAAGACGAGAGATGCGTAAGATGCAGAGTGACTAATAAATAAGGTAACAATGCTCTGAGTTCAACTCAAATCATAGACACAAGAGACAAGCAAAATTACAAATTATAAAAGGGGGTGAGGCTAAAGCCAAGGATTACATAATCGAATAACAATAATTTGCCTTATTCCAAAACAGTACATGTGATACAGAATGGAATTCTCAGCATTTTACTATAGTATTGCATCCACTTAGTACATTATCAATAAATAAAATTCTACATAGATTAAGAGCAATCTCAGTTAGTTTTGACAACAACATATTGGCATGTCGATAGCAAAGCCAAAAATTGAACAGAGTGTTTGAAGGTGTTAGAAAAGTAGATACTACTAGCACATTTACTGGCGTAACCGGTAACAAAAAGGTCGAGGTATATAGAGTGTGAAAGAACGAAGAAGAATGTTTCAAGTAGAGTTTGTAAGGAAGAGAGAAACAAAACACCACATAAGAGAAAAAAAGACAGGAAAGAAATAGAACGTTGTACCTATAAATGATGATATGAGTTGGAAAGACGAGATCCAGTTGTTCTACTGACTATTTAATGAGTTAAAGGTATCACGCCTAATGCTTTGATTATCGCACAGAACACGAGCTAAGTAGGTAGTGTATGGTTGAGCTTTTGTACTTACCAGTGTGAGCATATAGTTTTCTATGTAGGCTTCTCGTCCTACCTGATGAGATACAAGGGAGAGTTGTGAATGAAGTGGGTGGTGGTGTGAGTTAAACAGATAGAATGGATTTAGCCCATTTTTCACATGAGTCCATGTGCCTGTCAACCAGAATAATAACAAGTTGGTTAAGTGGCACGTTGATTACCCTGCTGACAACCTTTAACATCCTGCGTAATAAGGTATAGTCTTTCTTCAGTAGCCCTGGAAAAACTAAGGGGGAACACTAGAGAATAATAGGCAGGATATAAGAGTTAACGAATTGTAGAAGTAAGAGTTGGGTTATACCAGAATGTCTTAACTTCTTGATGTAGAAGGTAAGACGGAATATTTTCTTAGAAATCATCATGATATGAGACGACAAGGAAAGATCAGCAGATAGAATGACGCCAAGATATTTAATTTCCGACTTGGTCTCTCTCTATTTCAGTGCCATCTATGTTGCACACCTCATCAGTGATAACCAGTTTCTTTAGGTCAGATTTATGCCTAAAGGTGAAATTGACTGTTTGGCATTTGGAGGGGTTTAAGGTAAGACCGTTTTTCTTGGACCACTGGCTGATTTCTGATAAAAAGCCATTTAGTTTAGAGCAGTCACTTTGACACTTGGCAGGCAAAGATACAATCAGGTCGTTAGCATATTTAACAAAATAAATGTCATTTGAAGATGGTAAGTCATATAGAAAGAAAGAAAAGAGAAGTGGGGAGAGTACAGCACCTTGGGGGACACCAGCTTCAGTCAGAACAGCAGAGGAGGAATGAGAGAGAGAGAGAATAAAGACATCCAGTTACCAGATGGGGCAAAAAAAGACTAATAACTGCTTCTTTCTGAACACACAAATCTCGTTTCAAGAGTATCATAGAAATTGATTCGGCAAACTTAAGGAGAAAAATCCCAAAATGTGAAATTTTTTTAGGAATAGTTCACAAATATTTTTGCATAATATTTATAAAATTTCACTTTATTTTCTCTTCTTAAAGGTCACTTATGAAAAATATTGCCTGGCCTGAAACAAATCCTCAACTGCCTAGAGTGCTAACAAATCATATACAACAATTGTTATCTAAACACTTTCCTGCACCTTTATCAATATTAAATAAACATGGTCAAGGAGGTGATCCACAGTTGACGTTAATTCTAATGCCAACATCCCCGTCATCGTTGTCGATGCCATCCTTATTATTGCATAGAGCGTCATCATCGGTATCCTTGTCAATGTCATCATCGTTGACAACATTATCGACAACATCAACGTCATCATCATCGACAACCTCCACTTTACCAGTTAGACATAAATCTATAGGTGTAAAAAGACTGCCCCACCACCAACACCACAAACGCCAACGCCAACAAAAACAGCAACAGCAACAGAAAGAGCAAGACAACCAAGAGAATAGAAGTTCCATTACTGAAAGGTTAGTATGTATATATTTAGTAGTGCGAAATATTCTCATATAATGAATTATAAGTCAGTCTGAATGAAGAATATCCTTTTCAATAAATTCTTCTCTTCAGGTTCTAACCAGTAGGGTGCAGCTGGTCGGGTGTGAGGACAAATACTCGCCGAAGACATTGGTTAGGGGTCGCACTATGTGTCATGAATTGGCAGAAGTTAGAATTCATGCGCTGGCCATTGTATTGGCTCCCAGTGGCTTGATAGTATACGAGCTAGCTTGCCTTGTAACCAGAAGGTCCCGGGTTCGAACCCTGTCGGTTAGTGCGTACTGATGAAGAGTCCCGAACTAGGCTGACGAAACAGCTGTTCAGTACTCCCAGCTGGTTTTCCAATGGTTCTCTAACCAATGTCAGCTCATGATGAAATCCTGTACCCAACCAAATCCCTACAAACCAACACTTAAATAACTGTAATATTTTTTATTTAATTGAATTTTAGATTTTCCCACTCGATTGATTGGACCAAAGTGTTCAGTCTCAGGTTGGCATGTCGGCTTCTTGTGCAGATGTTTTGACGATGTCTGGGCATGTAATTAGAATTTAATTGGTGGATAGTGACTAGCAGTGGAATCCAGGACAACACGCATTTCGTCCTATTTGGGACTCGTCAGCTAACTGGATGTACCTGCAGGTACACTGCTAGTCACTATCCATCAATTAAATTATAATATTTATCATCGTTTGACTCATTACCCAATAAAGATGTTGAGACTTTCTACTGGCATAACTCAACCTCTTCGTGCGTCGGTGGCACAGTGGTTAGGACTCTCGCCAACCATGCACATGGTCCGAGGTTCGATCCCGTGCCGACGAACGCCTGATATCTATGGTCCGCCTGCAAAATTTGGGCTACCGATATCCATACTGAAAATTCCATACTTGTACACAAATACAGTGTAAAATCAAGTTGCAAATCAAAAAAAATTTATTGATTCGTGTATTCTGCCCATTCACCTTCTTTATTGTTCGCCTTTATTATTCCCTGAACTTCTTAAAAAAATACCATGTAGGACACTGAAGACTGTAAGTAGGGTTAGTGGTGTGTGTATATGAGCACCTTTGACTCATCTAACTGACATTGTTGTTGGTTGATAGGCATTTTAATGCTTGTATTGCAGTTGGCTAAAGTTATCCTCTCTGATACTGAACATCCTGTTCATTAGCAACTCTTTCCTTGTATCTCTTAGGGGGGTGAAACCATAAGAAACTTCATTAAAAATTTACGCTTGTACAGCTACTAAATATAAAAATTCTACCATACCAGAATATTTACCATGGGTGGCTGTTTGTGAAGACAGAGTCAGATGTCAGAAAGGAACTTATAAACTTTTTAAATCAGTAGTAACTAAACTGCAAAGTATAAGTAAAGATTATTATTGCTATTATTACATGTATTTGATCCACAACGGAAAAGTCAGTGAGGCATTTGGAGTAAACACAGGAGTCAGACAAGGGTGCTTGTTTATTATCATTCACGATGATATTCTTAATTGTGGTGGACTGGATTATGCGTCAGACAGTGGGTGAGAAACGGGAAGACAGGGATATCCTGTCCGGACCAACGTGAAGAACCTAGAAGACATGGATTTCGCGTGTGGATGATTCATGTTTGATGTCACTGTCACAAAATCGAAGACTTACAAGCGAAAACCGACCAACAAACTGGTCGAAGAAGCAGCCGGCGAAGACAGGACTCCAGGTGAACATAGACAAGATGGAGGTTATGAAAATAACCAACCAACCAACAATAACAACAACAGCAGCAACATCCAGCGCCATGCCAATCACCATCAACGGGAGGGATTTGAAAGAGGTTACTTCATTCATCCGCTTATCTGTCTGTCTGTCTGTCTGTTTTCGACATAGAACTTTGCACAAATGTGCGACAGTTCAAGTCGCCACATTCCGTGTAGCACGCGAAGCAAGAGAAGAAAGTACAAGAAAAGCATAATAGAGACAGTGAGCAGAGGTGTGAGACAAAGGAGTAATAAAGAAATACAAAACAGTTTCATTGAAGATCATAAGTCACAGGGAGTGGATGCATCTGCGCCACTGAGAACGGTTTTGAGCCATGTCACCAATTGTTTCCAACCATAGATTTTTACCGTCCCGAGGACCCCAGCTTGGAAGTCTACACCTTTCTACGTGACTGGCCTAGACCAACTGTTGTGGATTTCATTGACTGGTGAGGCCAAGTTTTTGTTTGACCGCCGCTAGCTCTTTTCCAGCCTGACCCTATATCCGCTAACATTGCTCATTGTCGAGGGAGGCGATGGTTTGGCATACGTAACGCATATCCTAACCATCTCAGTCTTTGTAGCTTCACGACTTCGTCGATTGATTTCCCCTGTCTACCTAGAACTCTACGCCTAACCTCCATGTTGCTCACCTTATTATGCCGCTTATCTAGGGAGCATTGTCTCAACTACAGGAAGTCAGAACGGACGAGGATGTCAAATCGAGCGAGAATCGGGAAGGCGAGCGAGAAACACATTCATCAACCTGAAACAACCAGTCTGGAAATCTTCGTCACTCAGCCAGCCGGCATCAACAACAAAATCCAGTCGTATTTTCAATACAAACAACGTCAAGTCAGTCAGTTCTTCTATACGGACGGATCAGAAAGTTGGCGGGTGGGTGACAAAGAATATTTCCAACAGCCTGTTGCAGACGTGACCTTTATCAACAACTAACTGTCTTCGATGGCTCTATACTGAAGATCAGATGGCCGGGCCGGAAAAATCACCAACAAGAAACTAACTATGGGAACAAACAAAGCAAGAACCAATCGATCGCCCAACAAATATGCAGGAGAAAGTGGAGATGGATTGGACACTCGTTGAGTAGGCCACTGGGTGATATCGCGCGAGCGTCAGGCCATTGCTCGAGTGGAACCAGGTCGAAAGGGAAGCGGCGACGATTGGGACGTCAGTGCAAGGGTGACATGGAGGAGATCGTGTGAAGAGAGAGGAGTTGAAACAGTATGGACTAGCTAACACGGTTGCATGTGAAAATTACAGCAGAAGGAAGACAGAAGTGGCAAGTGGAGACGTGCAGTTGAAGGCCTATGTTCCACTAAGAACCCAAGGGAACAATAATATAATAATTATTGTTTGGAATAAATTGATTATTGGTTTTTATTGATTTGTAGGGATTTTGATTGATTGGTTGGAGGATCTCATCATGAGCTGACATCATTTACAGAATCATTGAAAAACATGCGAGTACTGGACAGCTGCTTCGTCAGCTTAGTTTTGGACTCTTCATTAGTACTCACCTACCGACAGGGTACGAACCCGGGACCTTCTGAACACAAGGCAAGCTAGCTCGTAGACCATTAAGTCACTGGGACCCAACCCACTGGCTAGGCAGCGCATGAATCCTAACTTCTGTCAGTTCATGAGATAGCGTGACCACTTTGCTCAGTGTCTTATTCAATGAGTACTTATCATCACCTTCGACTTGCTGTGCCCCACTGGTCAAGGCTTCCCACTAGAACCCCAGGCAACTACCTGAATAGATCCAGCCGCTAGTGATTATTATTATAACCAGTTATTCGGTGAATATATTTCTACGTAGAATAACAATAGATTAGTTCTCATAGTATAAAAAAATGAATTGTAGTATTTTTATGACAGACGTGGTCTGGGATGAGTTCAACTACAAAACAGTGTGAAATGGGAGACGATAGTGGTGATTAGTCATAATAAGTTCATACATTGTAGGCTAAGAAAAATTGACAAGTCAGCCAAAGGTCAGTTGTTCAAAGGTTTCTTTTAAACCCATAACTGGAGGAAGTCTATTCTATTATATTTTGCTATTTATTTAAAGTTGTATAACACTGTGTCCTCTGTAGACAAAGAGGCCAAATATATCCGATGTACCTTCCTTGATTATACATCTGCCTTCCACTCTGTACCCAGATGTCTTTGGTTAAATAAGCTTTCCATGACACAAACTCAGTTCTCTGCTGTTAACTGGCTGTATTCTTATTTTTCTAACAAAATGTAGTTTACCGTCTATAAAGGCGAAGTTGGAGTGCCTCAGGGTGTTGTTCTCTCTCCCTTTCTTCATATCTGACTTAACTCTTTCGGATGAAATAAAATTCGTTCAATACTGTGATGATCTGACTGTTTCAAACAGTATATCTTTTTGTTTGGCGTAAATTGGTGGTCTAAGCTAAACGTTCTTACCTTATATCCCTCTAAATGTCAGACAATTAACTTCATCTTATGTCATGAACGTGATCTACGAGAACTGGCTCTTTTACATGCTGCTTGTAGCATAGAGGTCACTGAAATAGTAACTAAGTCAGGCATTAAATACCTTGGAATAGTTCTTTCCTCTGACCTTTCTTTGTCATCTCATATGTTGTCGATTTCTCAGAAAATGTTCCGTCCAATCTACTACATTAAGTAGTTAGGCAGTCTGAAATCAGTCAACCTCTACTTTTACTGTTTGCTAACTCTTGCATCTTACTTATATGAATTTACTGCTCCTCTTTAGTCTTTCCTAATTTTTTCTCCTTCACGTTTCCAGTGGAACATAGGGCGTCAAGCTTGTGGCTTGAAGTTTCTGCAGCAGTGTTCATTTTACAGGATGGGGTTGTTAGCCCCATGCCCAACCTTTCCTCTTTATCAGAATTATTTGTGGCTTAGCGAGGTAATGGAGTGAGTCTGTGGCCGGTGATCGAACCCCGGACCATGTGAGGCATGGTCGGCGAGCGTCTTAACCGCTGTGCCACCGACGCACTGTCTTTCCTACTGGGCTACTCAAAAAGGACTATTTCATACTGCGCAGGGTATGAAATATTGTGTGTAGGGTAAGTCGTGTGCCATCCAGTCAGCTTGTTACTACAGTAATTGATAGACACTTGAACTCATGTGAGAAATAATCGAAATCTATATTGCCTGACACTGAACACTCCCTCTGTGCTCAACTCTCCCCTAGCCGCATCTCACCAGGTAGGACTAGAAATCATTACAAAAGATTATATGCTCCTACAACCAAGTTCAAAACTCAACGATACTATATTTCCTCTGCCCATCGGCGTCCTATGTGATAGAGATAACGCCAGGCGCGAAACCTACAGCTTAGTATGCTTTGTTATATTAGTAAAATGATGGGCTCTTTTATTCTTTGCTATTTGTAATCTATGGTGACACTCACTATTTGAATCAGCCTATAATTTTAACTACGAACATTATCGTCACCATCATCATCATCATCGTCAGTTTATATTTTCGGTACATTTTTGACATAAATGACTGTCACTGGTAATACCAGAAAACGTGTTATTATCTATCAATCCTGTAATATTATTTTCTCCATTTTTGTTTTTGCTTTTGTTGAGTAAATTAGATGAAATATTGTAGGAAATAGTGAGAATTGCCCACTGCATCTCATAAGTATCATTTTGGAATAAAGCCAGTTATTAATATTATTATTATTATCACTATTATTAAGTGTTTTTCGCTTGTCTAGCACGTTTCTGCTTCTTAGTTTTTTTCCTTTTCTTTCTCTCTGTTTTAGCCTACTGAAGAAACTTCATGGAAAAGTTCACATCCATTTCTATAATGACCATGATACATCAGCAGTTGATTACATTTGTCCAGGGGAGGAATTCGTATGTATTGATTATTGCATAATTTGCTTTACTTTATCTGTTATTTTGGTGCTTTACTTCTAATGAGAAATTGTAACCTGTAGGGATGATCGAATTGGGTGTTAGACTGATGACTTGCCTATGACACTGACTAGCGGTTTAAACATACTTTGCCTGGACACTAGGTGTTCACTAATGTCATGCCAGCCATGTCATGTCAGGGATTGACTTGCTACCAGGGAATAATCTCGATGACTTAGAATATGCAGACGATATAGTCCTTCTAGGCGAGGACGCTGGCAAAATGCAGAGTCTTCTAAGCACCTTGAGCTGCAATCTACGAATGTTTGGCATGCCATTAGCTCCTACCAAATGCAGGATGATGTTACAGGACTGGACTACACTGACTTCTAGTTTAGAAATAGGGAGTGAATTGGTGGAGCACGTTGACCACTTCACTTATTTGGGAAGTAACATCAGCCAGCGCCAGCGGGTTGATCTTTGACGAAATCTCAGCACGAATACAGAGGGCTAGTTTCGTACATGCCAGTTTACGCCGTCTCTGGCCTAGTAGACGTGATATCCAGCTGGCTATCGACCAAAGGGCGGGTGTACTCCTCACCAGTCCTCTTTGATCTCCTTTATGGATGCGAGACCTGGCCATTGAGAGTGGAAGACATGAAAAGATTAGCTGTCTTCGATCATAGGTGCCTGCGCTCTATCTCCTGTGTGAAGTGGTATAATAGGGTGAGCAATATGGCGGTTAGGCATCGGTCGAGTTCTAGGTAAGGAGGGGAAACCAATCGACGATTTTGTGAAGCTACATCGACTGAGATGGTGAGGACATGTGTTACTCATGCATACCTAGTCATCGCCTCCCTCGACGAGCAGAGCAATGTTGGATGACATAGGTTCACGGTGGAAAAGATCTAGCGGTGGTCAAACCGAAACATGGCATCAGTCAATGAAATCCACAACAGTTAGTTTAAGCCAAGTAAGAAGGTGTAGGTCAGAAGAGCTATTCAGTACCCTTTGGTCCCCTAAATGTAGTCGGCTTATAATCAAACATAAAGTCAGTCGAATCCTTGTACACCAACACTTTCATGCCTGTTAAGTTTAAACCTATTGCTAGCACCTCAAATTTTCTAAAAATAATAGTGGTAATAAATAACTTTTATTGAAGGCTTCTGATGACCTTAATCAATTCGCTTATAAACATATTAAGTGTACTTTGGATGTTACTGATGTCTTACGTCATAATATTGTCTTTAAATTAGACAGAGAAGCCAGTTATATTTCTGTGTGCCTTCCTAGATTACACATCTGCCTTCCACTCTGTACTTAGGCCTGTTTTGTTAAACAAGCTTATTGCAACACAAGCAGGATGTTGACCTAATAATTGGTTGCATTCTCACTTTTACGGATAGGAAGCAGTACACTATTTAAAATGAGAAGTCCTCCATTGCTTCACTTACTCTAGCTGGTGTTCCTCAAGCTGCTTTTCTTTCTCTTTTTCTGTTTCCTTTATTCTTACATGACTTTCCTCAGCCTGATGAAGTCAGTTTTCAAGTATTGGTTTTGTAGGGATTTTGTTTGATTGCATGGAGGATTTAATCATGAGCTGACATCAGTTAGAGAACCACTGGAAAACCTGGGAGTACTGGACAGCTGTTTCGTCCTAGTTTGGGACTCTTCAGCAGTACGCACCCACCGGAATTCGAACCCAGGACCTTCTGGTTACAAGGCGAGCTCGTAGACCATTGAGCCACTGGCACCCGATCCAATGGTCCTTGAATTCTAACTTCTGCCAATTCACGACATAGCGCGACCACTTCGCAATGTTTTCTTCGATGAGTTACTGCCTCATCTTCAACCTGCTGTCAAACTGTTCCAAAATGAATAAATTTTTATTGGAAATTAGTTAGTGTTTCTTGTCAAATGGTCTTAAACTAAATCCCTCCCTCCAAATGTCAGGTTGTTAATTTCACTTTCAAATGCAAACGCAACTTATATGAACTGGTTCGTTCGCATGACTCTGATTTCATAGGTGGTACACAAGTTGAAACTAAATCGAATGTTAAATATCTTGGATTGTGTATTTACTCTTATATTTCCCTGTCTTTGTATATCATATTAGTCTCTAGAATGACACTTTGTGTAACCTTCTACGACAGGAAAATCTAAGTCAAATTAAATAATTAATAAGACCTGTTGCACAGGAGGTGGATCTAGTGGCCCAAGTCGTCTAGTTGATAATACTTAGGCGTTTGGGACTATGGGCACTGGGTTTGAGCCTCGCTGGAAACACCATAACTCACTGAGGAATGCAGGTACATCCAGGTGATGAGTGCCGAATAGGATGGAATGTGCATCCTGGATTCCACTGCTAGTCACCATCAACCAGCTGACTCCAACGTAAGGGAGTTAAGGCGATTTGTTAACACTCAGTTTCTACTTTCTAAGTTTGATGATATTAGATGGTTAGAGGCCTTGCTGACAAGTGACAACTAGCACAACACCTAGGTCCAAGGCTTCCTGCCAATTGCCTTCAACTATCTATTATCATCAAATCAATGTACACCTTGACGACGAGCTATCTAAAATGGTGGCCACATTGCAAACCTGACTGATAGCTGTCAGTCTGCACCAAAGAAAGGACTAGACATGTCATACTAGTTACTAGTGTCCTATCAATGTACTTTCTAAGTTTATTAATTTTTGTATCCCACCTATCCTTCTCTATCGCTCCTCTTTAATCTTTCCTAGGCTACTTAAGAAAGACTTGGTTTGTTACATTACCAAGGGAACTGATAGCTGTCAGTAGGGTGAGTGTGATGTCAATAGACCACCTTCTTAATACTTTTGCAGATAGACACATGGACTCATGGAAGAAACTAGCAAATATTATCCTGTTAGACTTTGAGCATCCTCCCGACTATACACAACCCTCTCCTTGCATCTAAAACTGGAGGCGACTATAGAAGACTGTATGCTCGAATGTCTAAGTACAAAAAGCTCTACAATACCTTATTTGGCAGGCACACACACATTTTATGTGATGAAAAAAGCGTATAAAGCATGAGACTGCTAATTAATTCAGGAATACTAAGTAGACGGGACATTTTATTCTTTTTTTTCCTGTTAATATATTATTGTTAATAATTTCAATTAAATTTTATTTTTATATTCATACTTCTTATTGAAGAATATCATCAATGAGAATGTCCCTGTTTTAATTATTATTCCTGTAATAAGAAAATTAGATGCAATCCTGTACTACTGTAACGACAGAAGACTAGGGCCAGGCAACAGATCGTTTATTGATAATAGTCAAGAGATTTTTATAGTTTTTATGTACATTATAATTAGCTGGGAAGCAACGTCTTCTGATTGGTTGTTTTGTTTCTGAAGGTTATTCCATTGTGGTGAGAACAGGCTGCTAATCAATTGGTAGACATTAATTTACGTCAATGTCTAGGTCACTAATATCGGCTGTGAGAAAATATGAACAAGACTGATTCAACAACCAATCACAGCAGACTCAAAGTGGGCAAATACGATTCACAGATATATGGCTTAACTATCTGAGAAACCAGTCACAAGCAGTACAGAATAACCTTGAGCAAGAAACAACCAATCAGAGGACTGTGTTTGTCTGCTTGAATAAGCTATAATAACGTACATGAAATATATATAAATACGTGCTGATTTCCTCAATAAACGATCTGTTGCCTGGCCCTTGTCTTCTGTTGTTACACCATTATCTCGTTGTGGCCGTTTCTCAGAAAATCAAGCCATATATCTGCGAATCATATTTCCACCACATTTTAACTCCGCTGTGATTGGCTGGGGATTTTCTCAAGGTTAAGCTTTGTTATTGTTGTTTTTTCGCATGAGCCTGATTTGGGACGTAAACATTGACGTAAACTGCTGTCTACAATTATGGCTTGCTGGCCGGTTCTCACCACACTATACTACATGCTGAAAATACCATATGTGGAATAAAATTATTATTATTATCATGCATTTCTTTTCTTGTAGAATCCAATTAGAAAATCTCAACTCATCGAGCCAGCTTCTTCATCCAGTCAACATTTATCATCTAGGAAAGATGTCAAACAGCTTAATAATGATGCAGATGACAACTTTGTCAGCGGTGTCAAGTCAAGACACAGATTAAAGCGAATTCATGAAAAATCAACTCAACGTGTAAAAGGCATTTCAACAGAAGTGAAGTGTAATTGTTCATTTTACCCGATGACTTCTAAAGGTCGAATTGTTGAAGATGCTGCAGAAAGCATAGAAAAGATTATAAAAGAACCATTTTTAAATCTACAGACAGCATTTACTCAAGCGTTGATATCAGTATTCATGGGAGAGGTATGAAAAACATCCCTGTATATATATATATATATATATATATATATATATATATATAATTTGAGTATACAATTTATCATTTTCTAATTTACAAGGATCGGTTTTATAGAGAATTTTTTATTTGATAGGTTGGAGGATTTCATCATGAGCTGACATCGGTTACGGAAGCACTGGAAAACCAGCTGGGAGTACTGGACAGCTGTTTCGCCAGCCTAGTTTGGGACTCTTCATCAGTGCGCACCCACCGACAGGGTTCGAACCCGGTACCTTCTGGTTACAAGGTGAGCTAGCTCGTAAACCATCAAGCCACTAGACTCATGACGAAATCCTCTAATTTATCCCGTTTTTATTTAGTCATAAGAAAAAGACGTAGACAGCGATTCGTTTTCATAAGGTGTTGTACAATTAATCGTCGTTATATTTAACAAAGAAATCATGAGGCCATTCGGATACTGGTTAAATTTGTCCTCGAAAAGTGTATTACGTAATATAAGGTGTAACCTAGACAGAAGTTGGCGTGACGTACTAAGTGTGAGGAAATGATTAATCAATAAAATTGTGTAGAATGGACAGGAACTAGTGGAAAGACAATAAAGTGTTTTCATATAAAATCTGTATGAAAACTTAATGTTATTAATAAACAGTAATAGAGTGATAATAAAATATAGATGATGAGAATAATAATAATAATACTTTGGCCACGGTAGGGCAGTGGAATGTATGTATCGCTTTTGATTGCAGACGTCCGGTTTCAGATTCCGAATAGCCGGTGATTCAGCTATGTACAGATGGTGTATTCGAAGACCTTTCATATCATATTGAGGGACTCTGTGTAGCACTGTGAAGCATTCATGTGGGGGTGCTCGACGTCCAGAGTTGACAAGGTAGGTGTTCGAGGATGGAGCTGCTACTATTCTTCTTTACTCCTCTGGCTAACCAAGATGAACAGTGTTCCAGAATACGTTTGTGAACTTGTCGTTACGTACAGCCGATGTACATTACTCCACAAGAGCAAGTGAATTGATAAATACGCATTGAGGTGACCAAAGGCGGTATCGTATCCTTAACGTCAAATAGGATTAACTGTCTGATGGAGAATGGAATGCGTAAGGTGGTTGCTTGAAATGTCTTCTTCCGACATTAAGAAAAGCGGTTTCTAAGAATTTCTACTTCGATATCACCTTTGAATTCCAGGTTCATGAAAAGGGTTTCCTTAGGAACAGTTGTAATCTTTGGCGACGGAGGCTTTCCTTTCATATTTTTGTCTATCAATCTTCATGGAAAATGAACCGTTGAAAAGAAAATTTTCCGCGCTGTTTACGTGTTTTTCTTAAAAATCAATATAGGAATATTTTGTTCATTTTCTGATGTGGTTTTTGTTCTCTGAGCTGGATGATGACAGGAGGAACGATTAATAAACTCGTGAAAAAATCTAAAAGCTCACTTCAAATTGAAGTATGCGCTGAAGACGTCACCCAGTAGGGTGATGAAAGCTTTGCAAACTAACCATCCAGCTCAGAGAACAAAACCACATCAAAATCATCCACCTGAGCTACAAATCTTCTCTATCATATTTTGTTCATTTTCTATTTTTAATTTTAAATCATGGAATATACACATCAGATGATAGGAAATATTAAAAATAGACAGTTTCAGAGAAGAAAATTTTCTTTTTCGATGAAGTCACCAGATTTCTGGTGCCAAACTATATAAACACCTTGCTTTTTCCCTTTGTTACCCGCTCTGGATAATATCTCCAAGAGCGTTTTACAAACAGATTTATGGTACCACCAATGTAGTCAGTTTTACAACATCAAACGAACTGGTTTACGCATTTTGAAGTGACCCAATGCGACAGCTTTCCTTTCTTATTCTGGTTTAATAGCTCCCAGTATAGAAATTTCACTCGTAGACTGGCAATGGAGTATGTTTTACTGTGAGATTTCGAAAGCTGTTTACTGAAAAGTACTGTCTTAGTATCGGGACCACGAACTACCAATCAGTGAATGACCTCGAACGCACCAATCACGTGAAGGAAGCATTTTTGTGTATGGAATACACATATATTTATGAAAAAAAAAATGCATAAAAATTGTAGAAAAGTGTTACTTAGGTTACCTTCCTCTCACATATGAAAACAGTAGCTCTTGATTTTAGGTTGGAGTATCAACAGAGTATAATTTCATTGTGGGTAAAATTTATTTGGTAAAGTCTAGTAGTGTAATACAGTAATGTTCACTGGGCAATAAACTGTTCTCGAAACGTCATCGGTAACACCGTGAGAATTACTGAAAATACCCATTGACTCACGAAGGATTTAGAATACAAATTCAGTGAATATTCAAGTATTGGTTTGTAGTGATTTGGTTGATTGGTCACAGGATTTCATCATGAGCTGACATTGGTTAGAGAGCCATTGAAAAACCTGGGAGAATAAGAATCCATTGAGCTGACAATAACTCATTGTTAATTGAATCTTTTGATTGTGAAATATTGCCCGATAATGCTGATGGCGCCTATGGTGATGATGATGGATTCAACTGTCTTGGTTGAAGTAGACTTGCAGCAGCGATAGCAATATTATTAAATATACAATAACCACATGCTTCTGATTGCATAGCATGATGACCAGGTGGACGAACAAGCGCCAAACCGTTAGTTAGTCGACCAGTATAAACTAAGTGAGTAAGACGTTTTACACTACCAGCAGCTAATTTTGCGCATAACCATGTAGACTTTGATGAAAAGAAAAAGAAAGAAAGAAAGAAAGGAATTTTCAAGTATTGGTGGGTGTGTACTGATGAAGAGTCCCAAACTAGGACAAAATCACTGATTGCCCAGTGCTCCCAGGTTTTCCAATGGCTCTCTAACTCATGTCAGCTCATAATGAAATCCTGTAACCAAATTTGCCAGATATCCCATTTAATAGCATAGTACACTTAGATGAACATATTTTATTGATAATGACAACATGATTTGCCAGGTTTCACTAACTTGTTCAGTGAGAGTTTTAAGGTCATTGGTGCGATCGCACTCCGTTGGTAGTTCGTGGTGCTTAAAGTTTAACTTCACTTCAGTAGCATATTTAACTTAGAGGTTAGGCATTAGCATCTTTCTGGGGGCAACTTGGACCTTTTTAGACGTTTTATTTGGTTTTAGATTCTTGTCTATGAATCCGGATGGGAAGCCATTTTCTATCAAGATTCCTTGGAAATTTTGCAGTTCATTGTTAGTAGATCTTTCGTTGAATATTTTCCGAATCCTTAAGGAAAGAAGATATGTATATATAGGGTTTCCCTTTCTGCTTAGAGGTACTCAACTCTGAAAATTGAATAAAATGGCATTCGTTTAATCTAGTAGGCATTATTAAAAGTTTACACTTTATTATATGTTGATAAAACATCACTGGTTTAATGGTGAAATGTTGCCCAACCATGCAAAAGGTTGAGTTTGGATTTCCGACCAACTGAATCCTAAATTTCGCTTAGCCAATAGTAAGTCCGGATAATGTAGGAAGGTTGGATGTAAGACTAACAGCCCTGTCCCATGGAAGGAACATCAGCACTACTGATATTTCAAAGCCTGAACATCTATATTCTACTCGGCATTCAAAGGTATAGACAACTTAGTCGTCGTTAATAAACTGCAGATCTTCACAGAAAATAACTATTTTTCCTAACCTTCTTTACGATAACTTGCTTAGATAGTTTTCCGTAGAACGTAATACATCAAATTTGATTACTTCTAATTCCATCATGGATAAAAATTTTATTTTGATAAAGTCACACAGTGTTGTTATGCAGTAATGTTAACTGATGACTAAGATTCGAGCACAATTTATTACCGCTCGTAATCATATCAAGGTACTCACACGACGTCCTTACTTCGTTTATATAATTCCATTATTTCAATTCATCGCTTGACTTGAGTGGTAGTAGTATTTTTCATAATTCCGGTATGAGTGATAAGTCATTGCATCCTATTGCACGTGTGTTCGGTGTAGACTCAATGAACAAGAATTCAGTAATCGACCTCTACTTCTATCCATCTACCGACATAACTTTTTAAAATTATAACTCTCCTCTACCTCTCCTCTATTGTGTGGCTGTGTGTTAATGCATGCAGTGCAATGCAGTGCGGTGCTGGGTTTTTTTCTAAATTACTCATCTTCACGAGTGGGGTCAACCATTCTAACCTTATCTAAATTCTTATGTTCTGATAATCTCACTACTCCTGATCTACTAGTTTTACCTTTGTAGTTGACCTAACTCATCGTCATTGCAAGGCATTTTGTAAATTATTTTCTTTATTTAATTGGGTTCACCGGGTCCCCTAGAAAACAGAGCTTGTTCTACCTAAGTAAGTTTGTAGGTTTGAATGCCACTCGAATTCCTGCTTTATTGAGAATCATACTACGTAGGGTGTCAGATGTCCCCTTGCTTATATGGTGAAGATCCAGTGTATGCCTTATATTCTTTCTTATTTCTGTTATTATCAGTATTGGTTTCACCACTATTTTTATGTGAGTAGTGCCTTGAAATGATCATGAGAGGCAATAAATTGTGCTCGAAACGTGGTCATCAGTAAACATTACTTACTGTATAACACTGTGTGACTTTATCAATGATGGAACTATACTTCACCACCACAGTGCCCAAGTTTTATCCTTATATCATTAATTACTCTTAATTTTTTTTCAACCATCTATTGACCCCCCCTCGGAAAAACAGTCTTTATTCATATGCATTTTTAAATGACTTTCAGGAAACCGTTAGATATTATAAATTATTTAAATTAATCCCAGCGCTGGGATTAATTTAAATAATTTATAATGAATCAATCTGACTCGGTGCTCAAATTATTCCAGGAAGTTCATAACACCTAAGGTCTGGAAACCTATAACCGTTAGATATGTTTCGATGGGACGTAATCATCATCGGTTATGCTATATTTCAGGTAGAATAAAAATAATAATAATGATAACAGTAGCTTTATTTCAAACAGTATTTGTGGTACAGGTATGGAATTTTCAGCGTGCATTACAATACATTGCAATATATTGTTACCTTATAAATTTTATAAGATTTTAAAATCAAAAAGTAACACCCAAAAAAAGATTTTATTTATTTATTTTTTTGATTACAGCTTGATTCCACACCGTATTTTTGGTACAAGTATGGAATTTTCAGCGTGGATATCGGTAGCCCGAAATTCGCAGGCCGACCATAGATATCAGGTGTGCATCGGCGTGGGCTCGAAGCCCGGACCATGTGCATGGTTGGCGAGAGTCCTAACCACTGTGCCACCGACCCATAAATAAAAAGAAAAAGAAACAGCGTTGCGGTTACATTTTAAACAATCCACCACAGGGTATAAAAGTATAAAATTGGTGTGTAATAGAAGATAAGAAGAACAGTGTAATAGTAACGAGGAAAGGAAAGCTAAAACTAATGGGACTATTTGTTAGAGGAGTGCCGCAGTAAGTTGATCGTTATAGTATTAGTATTAGTGCTTGAATGACCTCTTGCAGATTACCAGTTTACTTGAATATTCTCTACAAGGTATAGATAAAAAGCACACCAAAAATTCCTGTCCTGTTTTATAGAACGTACAGTTCAGAATAAAGCTACTGTCATCACCTTTTATTATTTTCACAAATTTATTCACTCGTAACAAGAAATGTGGTTTACAACTACTGACAAATTGTAAGTAGTATAATTTTGGTCAATAAAATAACTTAACATATAAAAAAACGAATTAAAAGAAATATTTCATATTTCATTTTGTTTTTTTTAAATTTTATTTCATTTTAGTTTCACCGTCTTTATATTTCTGTTAAATCGCTTAACCTGTTGCAGTTCATTAATGCTATCACAGACATACCGTTACATTTCTTATCAAACTATCGTGAGAGAATCTTTCGACCGCGTTACTTTCAAATGAACAATAGTAAAACGAATAACAACAGTAATAGCAAGAGTGGTATTAATAATGATAATAATAACAATAATAGTGATCGTACTGTTGCTTACATAAATTCATTTAAACAATTGAAAAATGAATCAATGTTCAATATTCCAATTGTTAAAGATGAAAGTTTAAAACAATTAGCCAATGTTTATTCGCCATCATCATCATCTTCACCTGCATCAATGGATTCGTTACCTCTGTCAACGGCTTCAGCGTCTCGATCTTCTAAATCTGTGTCAACACCATCGAAATTCAAGGGGAAAAGTAGATTTGTAAGTGAAGTTTGATGAAGTTATCCTTTTCTACGTATATATTTATATATGTTTACTTGTGGGTGAAGGATCAGGTATATTTATGATTCAAGTATTGGTTTGTAGGGGTTTTTATTGATTGGTTACAGGATTTCATCATGAGCTGATATCGGTTAGGGAACCATTGAAAAACCAGCAGGGGGTACTGGACAGTTGTTTCGTCTCAACAGTTTGGGACCCTTCATCAGTACGCACCCACTGACAGGGTTCGAATCCAGGACTCTGGGTTTGATAATAACCCAATTTAATAACCAGTCCATGAATCACAACTTTTGTCATTTCGTGATATTTATGGCACAATCGCCAGCAAATGTTACGGGTGAGTAACTGATCTCTCACTCGACTTGATGGCCACCAGTGGTTACTACTTCGCAGTAGATTGGTTGATTGACTAACCTACAACCAGTCGAATCCCTGTTAACCAACATTTGATAATTAGTCTGATACTACCTAGCATCTGGCTCTACATAGGAAGTTACCTAGAGTTCTTGAAAGAAGTCGTAACCAGGGAGGTCTGTCAAGTCAGGTAAGAGATCAGTTACTCTACAATGACGTTTGCTCGTGGCTGCGCCAGTAGACAGAAGCTAGAATTCACGCGCACCAGATCAGGTCTACGAGGTCGCCTTGTGACGACAAAGTCTTCGGTTTGAATCCCAATGGCTACCTACTGTTCTGAGGAGTCTTAGACTAAGATGTAACGACTGTTCAGTACTCCTTGATTTTCTGACGGTTATTATTTATTATTATTATTGTATCCCTTAGTTCCTAGAGGAACATAGGGCTTCAGCTGCGCACCTCCATTGCCTTCTGTTTTCTGACAACTTTTTCACCCTGCTCCAGGTCTGTCCACATGCTTTCATCTCCTCCTCGCATGACCTCCTCCAAGTCACCCTTGACTGACGACCAACTCGCCGCCTCCCTTTCGGGTTCCACTCGAGGGCTTGTCTAGTGATGTCACTTGATGGTTTCCTCAGCGTATGGCCAATCCATCTCCATTTCTTTCTGCCTATTTGTTTCACAATCGGTTCCTGATTGGTTCGCTCCCAGAGATCCCTGTTGCTGATCTTTTCTGGCCATCTGATCTTGAGTATTGAGCGGAGACAGTTGTTAATGAAGGTTTGAAGTTTGTTTGAGATGCTCTTTATGACTCGCCAAGTCTCTGATCCGTATAGTAGCACTGACTTCACATTGGAGTTGAAAATCCGGATCTTATTTTTGATGCTGAGTGCTGTTGACCTCCACACAGATTTGAGAGTAATGAAAGCTTGTCTTGCTTTTCCGATTCTGGCTTTGATGTCCTCGTCAGTTCCGCCTGTAGTTGAGACGATGCTTCCCAGGTAGGTGAAGGAGGTTGTTTCTTTCAGGTTCTTCCCATTTATGCTTATTGTTGTCTGTTGTTGCTGTTGATGTTGGCTAGGAATCTTCATCACCTCTGTTTTATCTATGTTCACGTGAAGTCCTATCTTTGATGCTTCTTCTGCCAACTTGTTACTTTTCACTTGCATATCTTCCAGTTTATGGGAAATCAGACATATATCATCGGCGAAATCCAGATCCTCCAAGTCTTTTGTGTCAGTCCATTTTATGCCTGTTCCCTCGTTGGTTGCCGTTGTCTGTCGCATTATCCAATCAATTGCAATCAGGAAGATCATTGGTGATAGTAGACAGCCTTGCCTCACTCCCGTCCTCACTTCGAAGGCTTCCGTAAGTTTCCCGTTGTGGATTACTTGGCATGCAGCATTGTCGTATAACTGTTGGATGAGATGTATAATTGTCGATGGGACCCCGTAGTAGCGAAGTAGTTTCCAAATGACCTCTCGATCGACGCTGTCGAAGGCCTTTTCAAAGTCGATGAAGTTGAGATAGAGAGGTGACTGCCATTCCAAGCTTTGTTCAATGATGATCCGTAGAGTGGCGATTTGATCAATACATGATTTGTTTCTCCTGAATCCAGCCTGTTCCGGACGAAGTTTTTCATCTAGGGCTTGTTTGATTCTCTCCAGGATGATGCGACTTAGTATCTTGCTTGGAATGGACAGAAGCATAATTCCACGCCAGTTTTTACATTGACTTAAGTCTCCTTTCTTTGGAAGTTTGAATAAGTATCCGTTCTTCCAATCCTCGGGTACTTTGCCCTCTTTCCACACCTTCTCCAGCAGTGGTGTCATCAAGTCCGCTGTTGTCTCTGGGTCTATTTTCAAAGCTTCTGCTGGGATTCCATCTGGTCCCGGTGTTTTCCCAGCTTTTAGCATCTTGATTGCATTCAGGACTTCTGATTTCGTCGGGGGGTCAGTGTTCACTGGTAGTTCTGCTTCCGTTGTTGGTATTGTTGGGCGTGTTGTAGGTGGCGGACGATTTAGAAGTCTTTTGAAGTGTTCAACCCAGTGCTTTCTCTGTTCCACCTCTTTGGTGATTGACTTTCCATTGTCGTCCTTTATTGGCTTAATCTGTGTCGAACGTTTGCCCGAAAGGTTCCTAGTTGTTTGGTAGAGTGTGGCGAGGTCTCCTTTGCCTGCAGCTTGTTCTGCTTCGTTTGCCATGGTTTCATAATATTTTCTTTTGTCTTCCCTGGCACTCTTCTTCACTCTTTTGTTCAGTGTATTGTAGCTTGCATTCAGCTCCTGTTTTTGTTGCTCGTCGGTGCACTGGATAATCTTTTGTTTCACTGTCCTTCTCTCTTCTATTAGTTTCCAAGTGTCCGTAGTGAGCCACTGTTTGTCCTGTCTCTTTTTTCTGCCTAGAATTTCTATGCAGGTTTGGCTCCACACCGTTTTCAAGTTGTTCCAGTGCTTTTCGACGCTGACCTCTTCGCTGGTGTTGATTTGTGTCTCGGCTTTGTCCTTTATGCTTGCAATGAAGATGTCCTTTGTAGCCTGGTCCTTCAGCTTTTGAGTGTTGAACTTGGCTTGTGGTCTATCTGCAGCTCCTGATTCCCTGAAAGCTTTTAATTTGATTTGGATTGTCCCTTGTACGAGATAGTGGTCTGAGCCAACGTCTGCTCCTCTTCTTGCTTTTGTGTCCAGTAGGCTGCGCCTCCACTTCCTTGAGATTGAGATGAAGTCGATTTGGTTTTTGGTTTGCCCGTCTGGTGACACCCATGTAGCCTTGTGGATATCTTTGTGCTTGTATACACTGCCACCAATCACCAGTTCGTTGAAGGCGCAGAAGTCGGCGAAGAGTTCTCCGTTTTCATTCATTTCTCCTAGAGCTTCTCTACCCATGATGAGTTCCCTTCCTGTATTGTCTGGTCCCAGTTTGGCGTTCATGTCTCCCATTAGTATTTTCATGTCGCCAGCTGGAGTATTGTCCATTGTTGCCTGTAGTTGCCTGTAGAATTCTTCTTTCTTTTCGAGGTCTGCGTTGTTTGTGGGTGCATAACATTGTATGATTGACACTTTCCTTCCTTTGGAGTTGAATCTGGCGGTCATTATCCTGGACGAAATCGCCTCCCATTGTATCAGGGCTTTCGTTGCCGTTGGTGACATCATGATAGCCACGCCCTCGGTGTGCGTGTGGTTATCTTCTGGGTGACCGGAGTAGATCACTGACTCACCTGTTGACAATTTGGTGAGTCCACTCCCATTCCATCTGCTTTCACATATTCCCAGCACTTGTATTCCGTATCTTTTCATCTCGTTGGCGATCTGGGCAGCTTTCCCAGTCTCGTACATAGTTCGGACGTTCCATGTTCCCACACAGACTTTTTCTTTTGGTGCAAAGAGGTTCATTGTGCTGAAGTTTCTGTAGCAATTTTGTTTACAGGGTGGGGTTGCTAGCCTCACGCCTGAGAAAGGAATGATTACATTAAGTAAAGTTTAGAGAGAAGCGACTTTTTGGGTTGCTCCCCTCAAAATCAGAAAATAACGGACAAACAATGAGAACAACACCAACAAAGGAAACAGTTCACAGCAAAAAGGGCAAAAAGCGACAACAACTATACAATACAACAACATGCAATATAGTTCAGCACAGTTAACTAAAATGATATCTCAACCATAAACTCACTGACTTGGAGCAACTTGAACATGTAAATCCAACAATATATACAATTATAGATGTGTTTATGTTTAAAAATTTCACAAATCCAAATAGTTAGTTATAGGTATTATCTGTCAGTGAGATTTAATCCTCGGATTTAGTGTTCGAAAGGTAAATAATTGTAATAGTTTCGACAAACTCTTGGCATGAAATTTTACAGAAACGAGAGTTTTATAAAATTAGGGAAATGTAGCGCAGTAGTCGAAAAGTGCGCGCCCGGAATCTTTCTGGTGGTTTTCTAACTGATATCAACTTGTCACACGAACGTGTAACCAATCGAAAACTATCTCACATAGTTTGACCATTGTAATGCTTTGGAAACGTAAACCGACAAACTGGTCGAAGAAGCAGCCGGCGAAGACAGGACTCCAAGTGAACATAGACAAGACGAAGGTGATGAAAATAACCAACCAACCAACAATAACAACAACAGCAGCAGCAACATCCAGCGTCAATCACCATCAACGGGAGGCATTTGAAAGAAGTGAATGAAGTAACCTCACTTCATTCACTTCACTTATCTAGGGAGCATAGTCTCAACTACAGGAAGTCGGAACGGACGAGGATGTCAAATCGAGCGAGAATCGGGAAGGTGAGAAACACATTCATCAACCTGAAACAGCCAATCTGGAAATCTTTGTCACTCAGCCAGCCGGCATCAACAACAAAATCCAGTCGGATTTTCAATACAAACAACGTCAAGTCAGTCAGTTCTTCTATACGGACGGATCAGAAAGTTGGCGGGTGGGTCACAAAGAATATTTCCAGAAGCCTGTTGCAGACCTTTATCAACAACTGTCTTCGCTGGATCTATACTGAAGATCAGATGGCCGGCCAGAAAGAATCACCAACAAGAAACTCTGGCCGGGAACAAACAAAGCAAGAATCAATCGATCTCCCAACATATATGCAGGAGAAAGTGGAGATGGATTGGACACTCTCTGAGGAGACCCCTGGATGACACTGCGCGTCAAGCCCTCGAGTGGAACCCGAAAGGGAAGCGGCGGCGAGTGGGTCGTCAGTGCAAGGGTGGCATGGAGGAGATCGTGTGAAGAGAGAGGAGTTGAAACAGTATGGACTAACATGGATGGATGCAGGTGAAAAGTAGAAGACAGCAGAAGGAAGACAGAAGTGGCAAGTGGAGACATGCAGTTGAAGGCCTATGTTCCACTAGGAACCCAAGGGAACAATAATAATAATAATGCTTTGGAAAAAGAAAATTTCTTTAAAGTGTTCCTGTCTGGTGTGTGTAGTATTCTTTCCAAGGTAAGATTGTTAATTTTGTTACACATTTTATTGTTGTTATTATTTCCAGCCGGATAGACATTCCTTAGAAAAAATAATTGGTTACAAACTAATAAAATCTGAAGATTTCTTCATTAAACCATGTCGTGTACTTGTCCTGGACTTAGCTGGTAATAAAGAATTCAATGACAAAAAAATCAAAGAAATCAACACCTCACTATCAGGAGTAACATCACAAAATATTCAATGCGAGTAAGTTATCAGTGGAATTAAAGTGTATCGCTTTAATAATTATTATTTAATCTCTAAAAGGAAAAGGCTTAAATCGATCCCATGTGATTTGATATTATTCCAGACGCATATATTGTAACAACTCGAAAATTAAAGCGAAAACCAAATGAGCATTGGGAAAAGACGTAACGGAAATTGTGCAGAAAGAACGACAAAGCCCAGCAGGAAAAAAAGAACAAATCTATTGTCGTTGTAATGTTCTAGTGAAGGGCGTAATCTAAAATTGACCATGCGTCACCCCACCGAATTTACACTCCATCGCCTATTTTTCTCGTCGTCACATGGGAACCCTGAGTGTCGACCACCCGCCACACCACCAATGCATTCACTACTCACGCTTCTATCTCTCTCCCCCCCCCCACACACACACATCCTCCTTCTATTCGCATAATCACCACTCCGAACTACACCACACTGGAATATTATTATCACAAGCTCACTCATCTCGTGACGCGATCATCATAGTCATCATCTCGATGGTGCGTGTCTCATCCTACTCAGCTGCAATGTCACTACTCAGTGGGCATTGACGGCGCCGGTGGTGCATCGGTAGACTTCTCGCCAACCACTCATGTGGTTCGCGGTTCCATCCCCAGTCGACGCACTCCTAAACCTCGTGAAGCCGCTAATAGGACTGGTAAAGTAGGACGGATGAGCGTGAAGCAACTATCAACCTCACCCCGTGAGAATCAACATCAC